TGTTTATATTATAGTGGAGTGAATATTGCCGTGTAGTGGATATTCTTAACGTTAAGTTAAGAATATCCACTACCCCATATCTTCCCGTGGGTGTCCTAAAAGGCGACAAAGGGAAGCAGGCAGGAGATGGGCAGCAGCATCTTCCTGATAACAGCAAATTTACAATAAAAAACTGCGGTTGCCAACCCGCTCGCCAAGCGTGGCAACTATGGCAAATACCCCCCAATGATGAGAGCAACAAAGAGACCCCGCTATTCCTGGCTACGGTGGCGACCATGGTAACGGCGGGGCAGGGGGTGCTAAGAATCTCCGATGGAGGTTCGGTTGCCACCTACGACGACTCGACCTGGCAACTTATAACGCACGCACCCTGAGGCCTGACGAGAACATCCTGGAGCTGGAAAAAGAGATAGACAAGTTTCGCTGGAATATCATTGGATTATCCGAGGTCCGAAGAGAGGGGGAGGACACGGTAATCCTCGAATCCGGCAACTTGTTCTATCACTGGGAGGGCGACCATCTGTCCCAAGGAGGTGTCGGATTTATCGTCCACAAGTCTCTCGTTAACAGCGTTGTAAAGATTGGGAGTGTGTCGACGACGGTTGCGTATCTTATACTCAGAATCACCAAACGGTATTCGCTGAAGGTCACAGAGGTTTACGCACCAACCTCGGCACATCCCGATGAGGAGGTGGAGGAAATGTATGAGGATAACACTATACGATGTTAATGGGAGACTTCAATGCAAAACTAGGCACAAGAGAGAACGGTGAACTGAAACTAGGTAAATTTGGAATAGGGCAACGGAACCCAAGGGGCCAGCAGCTGGCCGACTTCATGGAGAAAGAGGGACTCTTTATGATGAACTCTTTCTTCCAGAAGCGGCCCCACAGGAAGTGGACCTGGTCGAGCCCCGACGGTTCGACAAAAAATGAGATTGACTTCATTATGATGACCAGACGACAACTGTTCAGTGATGTCTCCGTGATCGCGAGGGTGAAAACTGGTAGCGATCACCGAATGGTTAGAGGCACACTGAACCTAAACGTTAAGTTGGAGAAGTCTCGTCTAATGAAGCCAACGCTCCGCCCCCTCGTGCTCTGTTCCAAAGTCCCGAAACATTTCAGCTCGAGTTACAAAACCGTTTTCAGTGCCTAGAAGACTGCAATGAAGTGGACGATAAGAGTGACAAGCTCGTGGAAACTGTCCATGCGGTCGGAGCTAAGTTCTGCAAGACCCGCCGCAGAAGAACACAAAAACTCTCCGATCACACTCTCAATCTCATGGCTGTTAGACGGGAGATGAAGCTACATTCTTCAACAGATTTGACAGCATACAGGCAACTGAACAGACAGATCTCAAAATGCATGCGGCGGGACTTACGCAACTTCAATACTACTTGTATTGAAGAAGCGATCGAGCGGAACCAAGGCTCCAAAGTCTTTGCGAGAGATCTGTCTGCCAGAAAGAGCAAAATGTCAAGGCTGAAGACCGAATGTGGCAGCATCGTTTCCGGGACACCTGAGATATTGAGTGAGATTGAGAGGTTCTATGGGCAGCTGTACACGTCGTCGTTGGAGCCACACGCAAGTGTGAGTAACGATCCAAGAGCGAGTCTTATCCGACACTATTCCGAAGATATCCCGGACGTCAGTCTGAACGAGATTAGAATAGCTCTCGAACACCTTAAAAACGGCAAGTCTCCGGGCGAGGATGGAATTACAGCGGAGCTTTTGAAAGCGGGTGGAAAACCGGTACTTGAAGTCCTTCAGAAGCTCTTTAATTCCGTCCTCCATGGTGGCACTACTTCGGAGGCGTGGAGCAGAAGTGCGGTGGTCTTGTTCTTCAAGAAAGGCGACAATGCTCTCTTGAAGAACTACAGACCCATTTCCCTTCTGAGCCGCGTCTACATGCTGTTTTCGAGAGTCATTACAAATCGTCTCGCACGCAGACTTGACGACTTCCAGCCTCCCGAACAAGCCGGTTTCCGAAAAGGCTTTAGTACCATAGACCACATATATACCCTGCGGCAGATTATACAGAAGACAGAGGAGTATAATCTGCCACTTTGCCTTGCGTATGTGGACTATGAGAATTGATTCCGTCGAAATTTGGGCGGTGCTGCAGTCCCTTCAGCGGTGCCAAGTTGACTGTCGGTATATCGAAGTGCTGAAGTGTTTGTACAGTAGAGCTACGATGGCTATCCGAGTACAGAATCAGAGTACGAAACTTATCCAACTGCAGAGAGGTGTAAGACAGAGTGAAGTTATATCCCCAAAACTCTTCACCGCTGCATTGGAAGACGTTTTCAAGCTACTGGACTGGAAAGGATGCGGTATTAACATCAATGGCGAGTACATAACTCACCTTCGATTTGCCGACGGTATAATCCTTATGGCAGAATCGCTGGAGGACCTAAGCACTATGCTCAATAGTGTTTCCCAACGGATAGGTCTTAAGATGAACATGGACAAAACAAAGATCATGTTTAATGTCCATGTCACACCTATGCCGGTAGTTGTTGGGAGCACTAAGCTCGATGTTGTTGACGAGTATGTTTACCTGGGACATATAGTCCGACTAGGTAAGTCCAACTTCGACCGAGAGGTCAATCGACGGATTCAACTCGGCTGGACAGCGTTCGGGAAACTACGACGCATCTTCTCGTTAGACATACCTCAAAAATTGAAAACGAAATTGTACAACTAGTGCGTGTTGCCAGTGATGACTTACGGATCTGAGACGTGGTCCTTCACTGCTGGCCGTATGAGGAAGCTCAAGGTCGCTCAGCGAGCTATGGAGAGGGCTATGCTCGGGGTTTCTCTGCGTGATAAAGTTAGAAATGAGAATATCCGCAGTAGAACCAGGGTAACCGACATAGCCCAACGGAGGATTAGTAAGCTGAAGTGGTAGTGGGCCGGCCATATTGCTCGAAGAACCGACAACCGATGGGGAATAAAGGTTCTCAAGTGGCAGCCTCGTACCGGCAGGCGAAGTGTAGGGCAACCCCGAACTAGATGGAGTGACGACCTGGTAAGACATGCAGAAAGTCGATGGATGCAGGTGATGCAAAAATCTAACACTTTTTCTCGCCTAGTCCCCATCTGCCAAATTCGTACCGTCCGATAAAGAACTTCGTTCCAAAAACTGAGAGAATGAAGTATATTAAATATCTTCTCCTTTTATCGTGCTCGTTTGTCACCCTTATTCAATAAAAAAAAATACCAGCGTAAAATAGCAGCTAAAAGCTGCTGTGTTTCGTACGGTAAGTGTAGATAACCGGAGACCCTTTTTGCCGGAAATGAGGCATTCCTGTTTAGTCCTCACGGGTGACAACGCATCTGCATTTTGATTTGTAATAGAGGATAGATGTAGATGTCTATGGGCCACAGCAACCACTCACCATCAGATGGACTGTGCTCGTTTGTCACACTTATCCTATAAAAATAAAGACGTAAATAACCCCTAATAATTTATTAATAGTATAGCGGTTCCTCGCGATTTCACCCGCGTGTAATTTAGGGTTTTAATTATGTTGCGCGGAACACTAATTCTTTTTCTCAAATATAAGTAGCCTAAGTTACTCCTTATAACATCAGCTATCTGCCAGTGAAAGTCCCGTCGAAATCGGTCCAGCCATTTCGGAGATTAGCCGGAACAAACAGACAGACAGACAAAAATTTTATATACTTTCTTATGCATTTAGTAAAAAGCTGTTATTTTAACATTACAAACAGACATTTCAATTTTATTTATTTATATAGATTGTATAGAAATTGTCACGTGGTAGAGCCATGCTGCAGCTATATTAGTAGTATAGTTGTAGCACAAATGGGTCGGCTCGACCGGGGAAGGACCACGCTCTCACAGAAAACTAACTTAACGCTGCTGTGTTTCGTAGGGTGAGTGTAGAGAACCGGAGACCCTTTTTACTGGCAAAGAGGCATTCCATCTTAGTCCTCACGGGTGACAACGCATGCATCTGCATCTTGAGTCTTTATTGAGGATAGATGTAGATGTCTATGGGTCATAGTAACCACTTACCATCAGGTGGACTGTGTGCTCGTTTGTCACCCTATCCTATATAAAAGAAATGCTTAGCGACTGGAACATACATTATTATATCCATTATATTATTATATATATAATATTTGAGACTGCAAGATTGAACTGTAAAAATTGACGCTTACTAATGATTGAATGTGTTCAGAAACAACAGAAGAACAATTTGTAAGATTTTTTTATAGGTGGTAGAGCCACGCTGCAGCTAATGATTGAATGTGTTCAGAAACAACAGAAGAACAATTTTAAAGATTTTTATAGGTAGTAGAGCCACGCTGCAGCTATATTATGGTTGTAGCACAAATAGATCGGCTAAACCAGGGAAGGACCACATTCTCACAGAATACTAGTGTAAAACAGCAACTCAAACCTGCTGGGTTTCATGTGGTGAGAGTAGAGAACCGTAGACCCTTTTTACTGGAAACAAGACGTTCCATCAAAGTCCATCTGCATTTTGATTCTTAATCGAAGATAAACATAGATGTCTATGGGCCACAGCCTCCACTTACCATCAGGTGGACTGTGTGCTCGTTTGTCACCCCAATTTTATAAAAAAAAAGTTTTCGTTAATGAACATTGATATGTTTTGGACTTTTCTATCTGGGGTACCTCTAAATATAAACCCAACTAAAAATATTATCACATTTGCCTATCACAAAAATTTTTTGCGGGTATAAAAATTGCTATATTAAACTTTTTCACTTCATCCTAGTGTACATTCCTATACTATTCATCCAATTATGATGAAACATTGGATGAGTTGTTTGTGTGAAGTTGTCTGATAAAAAAGGCATTGCAATGCATGTTGAGATGAGCAGACAAGAAATTATTAGCTACAAGCTCATAAATTTACTTAACTCTACTCAAATGTATAATAACAGGAATTCACAAAAAAAGTAATAACAATTTCTATTTAGATTTATAAAATTTATACTTACATTATGTTTACATCCTTCTACTATAAGATATGCTAAGGCTTGAATCGAATTTTGAATATTGGTTGGTGAAACGTTTAGTTTTTCTGTAAATGTAACAATAACAGTTCAATTTTACAAAGCAAAATTCAGGTAAATAATAATTAACAAAAATTTGCTGTTTTCTTATTTTGATTATAGCATAATAGGATTATGAAAATAATTGGGTGGGTAGGAATTACTCTGCAAAAATTAGAATATGTACTTGCAAAGTATTATCCATTGAATAATATTGAAGAAATAAAAATAATTTTTATATTAATAACAACTTATAGCTGGAATTAATAAATACCTTATATGTCAAAACCTATATGTAATGGTAAGAATACCCACTACCCCATATCGTCCTATGGGTGTTGTAAGAGGCAACAGAAGGAAACTAAAACAGGAGATGGGCAGCAGCATCTTCTTGATAACAGCTGAAAAAAAATTAAAAAATACTGGAGGTTGACAACCTGCTTGCTTAGTGTGGCAACTATAGCCATATCTCCCTATTGCCCGTATAAGGCAATCAGGGGGAGGCCTATGTCGAACAGTGGACTTTTATAGGCTGTAATAGATATTTCAAAATTAAAAATAAAATTATTCAAATTGGTAAATAAAAGTAATTTTATAGATTTTATTGTGTTTCATTTTAAATTTTATAATTTCCAATGATTAGGTTTCAGTTTCAGCATTACATCAGATTTGATAAAGCACAAATCTTTGCAAGAGAACAGAAATTCCTACCAGGTTATGAATCTCAACTAAATCCAAACAAGCATACCACTACAAGTAGTTAAATTCAAAATGACTGATGAATTCAACTAGTTGATTAAGAATAGACTATGTTTACCATCGACTGAACATTATAGGTTGATTTAACTAATTAAATGATTCAACATTCATGTAGTGAAAGTAATAAATTATATACATAATTAAAGCTAAGAATTTAAGGGTATCAAATACCTGATTTAGTGGCATATTTTTTATTCAATGTATTTACGAGAAATTTTCTTTTTAATTAACTACAGGTTTACAAAATACCAGTTTGGTAAATATGAAAGAACCAGGAGGTTTTTGATTATTATTTTTATATAAACAAATTTTATTAAAAGTAAACTTACCCGCAGCTAGGCTACATTTCTTTTGGTTAAAACCATTATTTAAATAATCTATTGTAAGTTTACAATAGTCAACAACAACTGAAAAACAAAATACTTAGGTATTAGTGTTAGTACAGAAACAACAGGTATTTAAAATTGATTTATAATTATAACATTAATTTATGATTTATTAAATAATTGATTGCAACTTATAGTTAAAAACTTAAATAATGAACCTTGCGTAGACTGTTTATGCAATATATCCAGATGTTCCTTTTGCAATTCACTAAGAAAAATTATCATTTTGTTTCAATTTATTTTTAACAGCTAAAACCCACTAGACCTAAGAATAATTTTAATTGAATAAAAATACAGTTTAAAATCACTACGTTTTACAATTATAACTATCGTATTAATTATGTTTTAAGAATATAACCATGGAATAATTGAGAATTTTATCCCATATTACTTGAACTTGGACAAGGTATTATATATCTTTTCAAAATTATTTACTAAGACTAAATCAACTAAATCTTAAATTGTTTTTATGGTTTCATACACAAACTATATAGAAACACTACGCGTTTGGTAATTTGGTTTCATATTATGATTTATGATTATGATTTCTAGTATATATTACTATACTCTTTGATTATGATGTTATGTTTGGTTATGTTATTGTTATGCTTAGGCTTGTAGAAAAAGATCGATATACCGATAAATCGGTATTTGTTGTACGATTTATCGATATTTAAGGAAATAACTTCTATTTTGATTAAGAGACATAAAATATGAAGTATCAAAAATGTATCAAATACGATATATTTCCATTAGCAACACTAAAACGGCTGAAATTTAGATAATCCTTTAAAATTTTGGGTTACAGCCGCCATTTCACCAGGTTCTTTTCAGAAATAGTTTTAAAGTATTTGGTACCTACTGCACCCTCATATCACCATAGAAAGGGGCATCAGTTAATATTCTTAGCAGAAGCCGACTTTCAGCAGAGTCCATCAAACTTAGAGTTTCTCTTTTGTTTCTTTCGATTAAATATTGGTTTGAATTAATGCGTTTTGCAATTATATATTCTATTTCTTTCGAACATAAGGCATTATACTTTTATAAACGCTTAAATAATTTATAATAATATATTACTGTCGCTTGATTATCAGAAATGATGTTTCTAGCTTTATATATAGATAAATAGTTATACTGACAGATTTATTGAACTTGACTAGTAAGAGAAACAAAGTGGAAATTCATAAACAAATATTTTTTAGAAAGTTAAAATTTTAATTTAGTTTTTTTTCTTCGATATTTTCTTAAAATTTATATATCGTTACGGTATATATCGATACTTTTGGCACTTCCTTCATCCCTATGTGTTGTAGGTAGGCAAAGGTCTTGTACCATACATCCAGTATAGAACGTTATTTAAGGATATGTGTAATAAATGTTTTTCTAGATATTTTGGATCTGTCGAGGATAGCATACGCAAAAATATTAAGGATTTCTGGGTTATAGATTTCTAATCGTCGTGACAAACCTGGAATACCGGCTAAGGTTGAATATAATGATGATGTTGCAAGTGATCCACAGAAAATATGCAACATGTTTTCTGAATTCTTCTCTTCCGTTTATGAACCGCCCTCACCTACACTATCACAGTGGAGGCCACCTATCGATTCAGCATCCCATGATACCACTATTACTGACCTTCATTTTGAAGTAGAAAAGGTATTAAGAGAGCTGAAATCTCTGGATCCATCTAAGGGGCCAGGCCCTGATGGCCTATCTGTTTATTTTCTAAGAAAGACCGCCTCTGTCATATGTAAACCCCTAACCATCATCTATAATAAATGCATTACTGAAGGTGTTATGCCAACAGTATGGAAACATGCTTACATCACACCTGTACACAAGAGCGGATCTAAACGTAGTGTAGATCAATATCGCCCGATATCAATTTTATCCACTTTGTCGAAGCTCTTCGAGAGACTTGTGCATAACGAAATATATCCCATACAGCATAATATTATTATACAGCAACAGCATGGTTTCGTTAAACGTCAATCAACAGCCACCAATCTATTATTATTTTCCAGCTTCTTATTCGAAAATGTTGATAATCGCGTACAGGTTGATGCAGTATATACAAACTTTCGAAAGGCCTTCGATAAGGTGGACCACGAAATGTTACTAAATCGAATAGCTTACAATGGCCTTCGGGGTAATCTTTTACGATGGTTTGTTTCTTATATCACAAACGTTGTCAAAGGGTTGTAATCAATGGATACCACTCTAACGTTACGATGGTTACCTCCGGTGTACCTCAAGGATCTATTCTCGGTCCTCTGTTATTTGTAATGTTTACAATGACATAAGTATCTGTTTTCTCAATTCTAAATTTCTATTATATGCAGATGATCGTAAAGTTTATAAATCTATCCATACTACAGAAGACTGCATTCTTCTCCAAGAGGACCTAGATAGACTGACAGACTATTTGTTATGGATCGCAGTGGACTGTATTATTGGGGGGTACGCCAGGGGCAACTGCTCAAAGAAAAGATGGTACTGTCGAGCTATACTGTATTCAAACTATTTACAATGTGGCACTATTAATTACACTATTATACAGAGGGGAGTCTTCTTAATGGAGTCTTCTTGAGTCTTGATTTTCTTGATTTCTCTTGCTGTTTTCTTCTCTTCGAGTGCCGCTTCCGAAATGAACAGCTCACCGTCCGAGACGCCCTTCTTATATCTCGCCGGAGAGCTTCTCGGGTCGTGCGTAGCGTCATCCGCGATGCCGCGCGCTCATTGGTCGGCGACATCGCGTGATCTGCTGCTGGTGTGCGGGGTGCGCGGGGCGCACCGGGGTGTGAAGGGGCGACGGGGCGGCGGCCTCCTCGCTGTCCGCTACATCCTCCCCCCGGCGTAGCCTGCGAGCCTAAACTTCTTTCGGGAGGACGGCGATCTTCCTGACGGGCCGCCGCAGCACTCCTCCCTTGGTCCGGACCTCGACGTTTCGCACCACGCCGTCTGGTCCAGGAAACGTCTTCGTTACGATGCCCCGCGGCCACACATTCCTGGGTAGGTTGCCGTCCGCAACCACGACGAGGTCCTTTTCCTGTATTTGGCGCTGCTGAGCATCTCTGGAGTCCCCGCGCGCGACCAGCGTCGGCAGGTACTCCTTCACCCAGCGCCTCCAGTATTCGTCGGCGAGTCCTTGCGCCGCTCTCCACGCCCGACGATCCATAGGTGTGCACGGCGCGGTGACTGGCAGGCCCGATGGTCCCAACAGTAGGAAGTGGCTGGGTGTCAGCGCCTCTTCATCGTCGATGTCGACCGGTACGTGCGTCAACGGTCGAGAATTTACAGTATTTTCGGCTTCAGTTAGAAGCGTTGCCAGCGTTTCTTCTCGTGGGTTCTTCTGATGGAGAGTGGCTTCGAGCGCGGTCTTCACTGAGCGCACGAGACGCTCCCATGCGCCTCCCTGGTTAGGCGCGCCCGGTGCGATGAACTTCCAATCGACGCGCCGAGTCAGCGCGTAATCCTTCAACTGTGGCGCCCACTCTTCCATTGCCCGTCGTAATTCTGTGTTTGCCCCATGAAAATTAGTCCCATTATCCGAATAAATAACCCGTGGCCACCCACGCCTAGCCGCCATGCGCCGCAATGCCGATATCGCTGAGTCCGCGGTCAGAGAATAGACTATCTCTAGATGTACTGCGCGCGTCGTTAGGCACGTGAACAGTGCCACCCACCGTTTTTCGTGCCGTCGTCCTATCGTAACCGTCAGAGGCCCGAAATAATCAATCCCGGTGTTCGTAAATGGTCGCGCAAACGCCCCTAACCGTTCAGGTGGTAGGTCTCCTGTAACCGCAGGTCGTGGTGTCGCCTTCCGTATTCTGCATCGTAGGCATTTCCGCTCCGCTTCCCGTACTGTAGGTCGTAATCGGAGGATATGATACCTAGTGCGCAGGTCGTTCACCACCCTCTCCCTATTGGCGTGGCTTGCTTCCTGATGCGCCTTCTCCACAAGCAGCTTCACAAATTGGTGACGTCCATTCAGGATAACGGGTCTCTTCATTTGACCGTCCACGTCGGCTGCGTCGATCCTTCCCCTGGCTCGTAGCACTCCATCCTCCAATATGGGGTCGAGCTTCCTTAGTGCGCTGCCGGTGGTCAAATTCCTTACCCGCTGAAGGCGGCTGATGTCTTCAGCGAAGCTTTCCTGCTGGCTGCGTTGTATCCACATCCGTTCTGCTCTCTGGATGTGCTGTAAGGTCAGTCCTCGTGCTCTTCCTCGTGTCGCATCGAGGAATTGTAGTACTCTTGCTGTGGCCCTGATTAACTTCTCGTAGGCAGAGAATCTCTCTATGTCTGGCAGGTGTGGATCTTCCTGGGTGTCGCTCTGGTGCGCCACGATTTCCTCCAACTCTTCATCATTCCCCGCCTTCTCTTCCTGTCGGTGAGGCCATCTGTCTTCATGCTCGTAGAGGAAGGGTGGTCCTGTAAACCACTTGTCGCTCTCTTCCTTGGTTGTGAAATTCATCCGCGTTGCCTGATCCGCTACGTTTTCCGCAGTCGGTATTCACCTCCATTGCTCGGGTGATGTCTTCTCAGCTATCTCCCCTAACCGGTGAGCAACGTATGGAGTGTAACGCGCCGTATCGTTTTGTATCCAGTGGAGCGCCGTAGTAGAGTCCGTCCAATATACGACCCTATCTGCTACCACTCTGTGTTCGTCCTGCACGAATTCCGCGAGTCGCGCGCCTATTAAGTTCGCCTGCAACTCTAATCGCGGTATACTTTGCGCTTTAATTGGAGCGACTTTCGCCTTAGCCGCCACTAATCGTACCCTAATCGTTCCGTCGCGATATCGTATACGCCAATACGCCGCGGATGCGTACGCACGTTCGCTCGCATCATTGAAGACGTGAAGTTGACGCTCTACAACTCCCCCCGTAGGAGCATAGCACCTTGGCAGTCGTAGTCGTGATACCTCCTCGACGACTCGCAGCCATCTCTGGAATTCCTCTGCTGCCTCCTCGGGTAGTTCGTCGTCCCATCCGACCTTCTTCATGCGCCATAGGTCTTGTAGCAGGATCTTGGCGGTGATGGTGAGGTAACTTAGCAGTCCAAGCGGGTCAAAAACGGACATGACGCTTAATGCTTAATGCTTCCCTCTTGGTCGGTGGTCGCTGTAGCGCCTTTACTTCTTGCGGCACCCTATTCATTGACGTGTTGAATGTTAGGGCGTCTTCATCAGCCATCCATAATAACCCTAAGGTTCTGCC